TTTCGCGATCTAACGAAGACGGGACCTATTCGGTGGTCATGAAGAGTGAACCCGTCTATTCAACTCAGAGTCCCCTCTGGATGCCCATCACTATGAGAGTCAGATCCCTATGTAATGGAGATTATGAGCGCACCATTAAAATCGATTGTTTCGATCACCGATCCAATGGTAATCATAAGCTGATTGGCAGCTGTTTTACAAACCTCCGGAGTCTAACCAAAGGACCAAATGATGAGAATAAGTATCCGATAATAAATTCAAAGAAGAAGAGGAATAAGAATTACAAGAACTCTGGATTCGTTGAATTGGAATCGATTGGAGTGACAGAAGAGATCACTTTTCTGGACTATATTCGCGGCGGAACTCAAATGCATTTCGCGGTCGCCATTGACTTCACCGCATCTAACGGTCCGCCAAGAGATCCACAATCTCTACACTATCTCGACATATATGGGAATCGACCCAACCCTTACGAAATAGCGCTCAGAAGTATTGGCGATATAATACAACCGTATAATAGCGCCGGTATTTATCCAGCATTTGGTGAGTAATCATATTTTAGTTATGATTTATGCAATGATTTAATTTTTTTTGTAATTTTAAATAACATAGGATTTGGCGCTAAGATTCCTCCGACGGGTGAAGTGTCACATTTGTTTCATTTGAATGGCATTCCCTCCCATCCCTATTGCAGTGGAGTGACGGAGATCCTGGACCACTACAGGAAACGGTTGGCATCCGTGACCCTCTACGGGCCCACAAACTTCTCGAACGTAATCAATAACACCATATCTATTGCCCGACAATACGAAGACGGAAAGCATTACTTTGTTTTGCTGATAGTCACGGATGGCATCATATCCGACATGATTCACACCAAGAATGCGATCATCAATGCGTCCAAACTTCCCATTTCTATCATCATAGTGGGCGTCGGGAACGCCGACTTTGCCGCCATGAATGAGTTGGACTCGGATGACGTGCGCCTACAGGTGGACGGCAAGTACGCCGAGAGAGATATCGTTCAATTCGTGCCGTTGAATAGGTTTTTGGCTAAAAAGGGACCCTTTATTAGAGCGCAGGCAGATCTCGCCAAAGAGGTATTGTATGAAATACCCGAACAAATGACTGGATTTATGAGATCCAGAGGCTATAAACCAAATATTCCAGTGCCTAACACTGACCCCGCACACCCTGCACCCAATGCACCGCCTATTTCATAAGACATCTCATTCAATGGATTTCATTACAAATAATTTATTGTAAACTAATACTCCTATTAATTATGAGAACAAATTTCTACAATTTTTTGAATTTTTGAATAATATTTATTATACATGTATTTAATTATGTAATAATAATACAGTCTAATACAGTCTGATATGTTTCCAATTGTTTGTGATTTTTTGAATATTTATTAAATATTTATTCGCTTTTTTCAATTTAATTACCGATGTTTTCAATCTAATTTATAAGTCAAATACTGTTTCAAAAACATAACTACTGTGGTATTGATTTGTTTGGATAAGAGATTAAATGTGAATTGAACTGTTATTTCAGTTATTAGTTTGTAATGAATTATAACCAAAGAATTGTATTCAGAAATGCTATAAATAATGATTGAATAAAGGAATTACTAAATAAAGACTATTATTTAAAAATAGCTTACTTAAGTTTGTAACGATAATAAAAGTTTTAAATGTCATTTATTTTGTTTCCTAAAAACAATAGTGCAATAATGATTGTAAAGTATTAAACTCATTGAAATAGACGCCAGAAATGGTAACAATTGACGCAAACAAATGAACAGCATTTCTAAAGATTAACTTTTGTGTTGGGAATTACGGTAACTAAAAATATTCAGTGGATTACTCATTAGTCTGCAATAGTTATCAATAGATTAAAAGTTTTTAGAGATAATTATAAAAGAAAAACTCATGACAAGAATAAACGAAAATAAAAAAAACTATTTTGTAAACAAGTTTTATGTATAATATTCTTGACATAAGAATATTCTTGTCTCGACAGCACACGTGTAATGGCAGTCATATTGTATTGAATATAATATGAAAAATGAAATTCGAGTCTCTATTCAATTAAAATTATAATATGTTTTTATTAGCAACAAAACACATAAAAGGAAATTCAATTATAGCCAAAAAAAATTGCTAAATAAAAAAAAGTGTAATAAAAGAGTAGAGAATACATGAAATGCAATTGAATTCAATGACAGCACTACTACTACTGAAATATGAGATATTCATGACTCGTATGCATTGCAGTCTATATGGGAGTGAATCGTACGGAGCGTACAATACATGACATAAGTATTGAACACTTGTTGTCAATAGTGTTGTAAACAAAACACAACTCTCAACAGTGTTTCACTGAAACGTATCGCTGAATCAAACGCTAATCACATATATATTGCTATCGTTTAATAATTACAACAAAATGTGTCACTAATTGGCATCAGATTTGTGAAGTAATAGTAGTTTTCAAATAATAAGTTTTGTACTATCAGTAGGTCTCATATAATGTGATATAAATGTGTTGAAAAAGTTAATGCATTTTGAAAACCCAAACATCCGTTAAATGGCTTTCAAATGACAAACAAATGAAATGAATATTAATTTCGGAAATATTTTTGTGATTTATTTGACAAATATTTTGTGAAACTCAACACCAATTCAGCGATTCTTGTGTCCAATGTATGAACGGATCAGTCCATTGATCGCAAGTCATAACAATAGCCATACGAAGGCATGTCTTCACCGAATTGGTGCCAAAACTACTCGAATAATACGACTTCTTCGGGATATGTGTCCACAGAAATGATGGCACCCTTTCAGACACCGGACACGACGGGGGCCGGCGGGGGGACGGCTGTGATGCCCACCTCCCAGATAGAGATGACCCTCTCGTGTCGTAATCTTCTCAATAAAGACATTCTCTCGAAATCGGATCCGTTTTGTTTGGTTCAGATGAAGGACTCGTGGAGTGAGAAGTTCGTGGAGATCGGGAGGACCGAAACCATCACCGATAACCTCAACCCCGAATGGGTCAAGAAGTTTGTCATTAGCTATAACTTCGAGACCGTTCAGAAGATGCGGTTCGAGGTGTGGGACGTGGATCCGGACGGCAAAGAGTTTTTGGGACACTTCGAGACAACGTTAGCCGAAATCGTGGCCTATTCTGGGCGACAGTTCGTGAAGAAGTTGTCGGGAATACCGAACAGAGAGTGCGGAGACATCGTTATAGTGACGGAAGAGCTGTCTTCGTGCAAACAAATAGTTCAAATGCAGTTCAGCGCCAAATCACTGACCAAACTGTCGTGGATTTGGAGGAATGACCCGTTTTTGGTGTTTTCGCGATCTAACGAAGACGGGACCTATTCGGTGGTCATGAAGAGTGAACCCGTCTATTCAACTCAGAGTCCCCTCTGGATGCCCATCACTATGAGAGTCAGATCCCTATGTAATGGAGATTATGACCGCACCATTAAAATCGATTGTTTCGACTACCGATCCAATGGTGACCACAGACTGATTGGCAGCTGTTTTACGAGTCTTAGGGCTCTAACTAAGGGTCCAAATGAAAACAAGTATCCGATTGTGAATCCAAACAAAAAGAAAAACAAGAATTACAAGAACTCTGGATTCGTTGAATTGGAATCGATTGGAGTGACAGAAGAGATCACTTTTCTGGACTATATTCGCAGCGGAACTCAAATGCATTTCGCGGTCGCCATCGACTTCACCGCATCTAACGGTCCCCCAAGAGATCCACAATCTCTACATTTCCTCGACCTATACGGCGGTCGACCCAACCCTTACGAAATCGCTTTGAGAAGTGTAGGGGAGATAATACAACACTATGACAGCGCCGGCATGTTTCCGGCATTTGGTGAGTATTATAATAAACCGTTATCTATAGTATAGTAAGACTCGCAACGAATTACTGAATTTATTATGATATCAAGGATTTGGTGCTAAACTCCCGCCAACGGGCGAAGTGTCCCATCAGTTCCCACTTAATGGCAATCACTCGCATCCCTATTGCAGTGGTATTCCGGAGATACTGAATCACTACAGGACCCGATTGGCATCCGTGACCCTCTACGGGCCCACAAACTTCTCAAACTGTATTAACAACACGGCGTCCATTGCCCGACAATTCCAAGACGGGAAGCATTACTTCATTTTGTTGATCATAACGGATGGCATTATCTCTGATATGCACCAAACGAAGAACGCGATCGTCAATGCGTCCAAACTTCCCATTTCTATCATAATAGTGGGCGTCGGGAACGCCGACTTCGCCGCTATGGATGAGTTAGACTCGGATGACGTGCGCCTACAGGTGGACGGCAAGTACGCCGAGAGAGATATCGTGCAGTTCGTGCCACTGAACCAATACCTGTCCAAAAACGGACCGTTCGTCAGATCTCAGGCCGACTTAGCCAAAGAAGTTTTAGCCGAAATACCCGACCAAATGACTGGTTATATGAAGTCCCGGGGCTTTAAACCAGTCAAATCTGTGCCAACGACAGACCCATCGCAACCGTCACCATCACATCCCACGCCAAACGCCCCATCGATTGCCATCTCTTGAGAATTGTGTCTCATTTTCACCGTTTATTTACCAATGATTTAATAAATGACCTAAACTTCTAACAATCTATACATTCTTCATATACCGGTTCATAATTTGAGCGCTTTTTCTAAATTATATTTATTAATATATATTATATATTATATATTATATATTATATATTATATATTATATATTATATATTATATATTATATATTATATATTATATATATTATATATATTAATTAAAATTTTTGTGATTGTATTTGAATTTTTCGAGTTTTTGATAATTTTTAATTTTGTTATAATATTAATTGATTGTGAATAATAATTATATCAACACTAATATTACTATGAATTGTATTATACATTAAATTTGATATTACGGTAAATTAAAGTCATTTCACATAATAATTTAAATTCAGACTTATTTCATAAGAGCTGAACAATAGCTTAGAAACAATTGGTATAAAACATTTGAGTGACTCGTTAACTACAACTAGTTTTGAATTATCTAATTATCTATGAGATGAATGTCAACTCAATTAAGTTGTTAAATGTTAAATGTGTTCACAGTTTGATGGCATTCCTGGAATCGCCCCTCTCTTCGATATTGATCTGCAAATGACACACAAATAGACATCAATAGAGTTGGTGTCCAAGTATTGGTTAATCAGCGATACACTGATCATCACATAATACTAAAACACAAATCCATACAAAGTGTCCATCGATGGTATGTGTCTTTTGCCTGAGAACCGCTCGGTATCCGTCATCGTTGCCGAACTCAATGAACCCATAC